AAAAAGAAATGTTTCTTTTCTGAATCCAAAGGTTAGGAGAATTCTACAAAGAATGACAAATACATAACAGATTTTCAGGAAGGAAAAAATAAAGAACCTGGTCAACTCTGGTCATGAGAATAATGATACCATTTCCCATAAAGATTATCACGTAGACAAGAAAAATATCACAAAAAGAAACATTCAGATTGGAAATTCAAGAAAATCCCAAAACAACAAATTCCATCATTGAAGTGAGATTTGCTTCTGGGTGTGTGTGTGTTCCATCTGTGAAAATAGTGAAATTAGTCATTTATGCTCTTAGCTTAAACCATTTTCTATCCACTAGAGGAGTTTGAGGAATTACTATGTATCATTTATCTCCATTCAAATTCCAGCATTTGATATCCTAGCATCAAAGAGCAAAACTGAATCCAAAGGTGAAGAATATTAATACAAAATGAAATTGACAAAAAATAATTCATACTTTCTCTTCTAGGTTTAGTTATGGCTGCTTTTTCCTCCCTCAGTAGAACAGTTTAAGTAAATACATTTTATATATATTATATAGATAATATATAATATAAATATATACAAATATGTATATAATCATATATATGCAAGAAATTTGTTTTAATAAGAAATTTATCTTTTTTCTCATAACTGAAACTCATATTTATTTCAAAATATACATGCTTTCAAAATACCAAGTTTCTTTTAAATAAAAACATCCCTTTTTTTCTACTGGTTTTATTTCTTTTTCATGTATCATCTTAACTTTTTATTTATCATTCATTCTAATTTGCTTTTCCAGACATTCTGGACAAAGACATTCTTATGGACAGTCACCCTATGGAATTCAGGTCCCCTGGTCATCCACCTTACCCCCATACCAGATCTTGGCAGGGAGCAAGAATGCTCTTGAGAAAGCAGCACCACTTAAATGTCCATTAATATTCATTGGAGAATATCCAAACTCAAATTGTGCATGTGAGACCCTTTTATTTAATCTCCAGTTTTCTTAATGTTTCTCCCTTGATCTTCCACCTGAGCCTTTAAATATAGCAACACTAGACTTCTATCATTATTACATGTGTGTGTTTTATTTGTGATTTATTAATTTTCCTTTTTTTCCCCTTTTAACTGACACAACCCTGACTGGAATATTAATTAATTATTTTTAAAAAGATTTATTTATTTATTTATTTATTTATTTATTTATTTATTTATTATATGGTGAAATCTCAGAGAGAGAGAGAACACGTGCATGCATGAGGGGGAAGAAGACCAGAGCGAGAGGGACAAGTAGACTCTGCTCCAACCCACAACCCTGAGATCATGACCTGAGCTGAAATTAAGAGTTGCACACTTAACTATCTGGTCTGTGCCACCCAAGCACCCCTAAGTAATCATTTTTTAATGGTTGTCCAAAATAAGTGTTCTTTCTTTTTTAAAAAAAGATTTTATTTACTTATTTGAGAGAGAGAATGACAGAGAGAGAGCATGAGAGGGAGGAAGTTCAGAGGGAGAAGCCGACTGAGCTGGAAGAAGGAGCCCGACACGGGACTCGATCCTGGGACTCCAGGATCATGACCCGAGCCAAAGGCAGTCACCCAACCAAGTAAGCCAGCCAGATGCCCCAAAATAAGCATTCTATTTCAATTTATACCTCCAGTCTGTGTTCAAAATAAATATTTTAAATAAAAAATTTGTCAAAAGAAAAAAAAAAACTACAGTGGCTGCTCTTGTTTCCAGTCTACTTCCTTAATCTGTGTAAAAATTATCTGTTGGATATAACTGAGATGTGTGAATTTACTCCCATAGCACGTTCTAATTTGCAATGAAATGTTTGGCTCATGTTCTTTCTTTTTTTTTTTCCCCCCCTTTTCTCTCTCTCTCCCTCTGGTTCCAAGACAAAACTCCCCAGGCTTGATTGAGTTTCTAAGTTTTTAAATGAAAGTAAGATACATTTTCAATCGATTTTCAAAAAATTTCGAGAAAATCTTTTGCCTTTTTCTTTGAGTTATAATTGCAATAAATTATATCATAACTCTAAAATAACTGTAAAGGCATTGGGCAGATGTAATTAAGGTGAAATATTAATTAACTTTAAATTAGGGAGGTTATCCAAGTGGGCTGACCTAATGACATAAGTCCTTAAAATCCAGGTATAGCTGTCAGATCCAGAAAAAGTAGCAAAGATTCAAGGTGAGTGAAGTGGAAGAAGGAAGGAGGCAAGGAATGCTTTTGGCTTCCTGGAGCCCAGGGCTGGAGTGTTGGAAATGGTGGAAACTGGTACATATTATTTGCCTTTACATAAAATCCTTGTGTGAGTACATTCTGTGGAGTCTGATGAATCCTTCCATCATGAAACTGGAGAAAAGAATGCAACTGTGTTTATTTTTTTAGGGTTAATAATAACTATTTTCATGGATAGAAAATATTTGATTAATGATTTGGCATATTCAGAAATATATGTTTTCTTAATTGGATCAATATGGTGAAATCTCAAAAAATTAACTCTTTTATTGTCATTAAGTCTTAATTTGATGTTTCATATAAGCTTTATTTAATGAGATTTAATTTCCAATATTTTTAGGTTTCTTTGGAAGATTTACATTTTTGCTTTTTTATTCTCTTATTTTTTCAATTTGCAAATTATTATTGTCACCAAGTACATAAAAGCATTTTTATACATCGTTTTTTAGTACTGAAAGAGAGTAATGCCCAATTTATAAATTTACCACCTATTTAATCTCTGATAATCATGCACATTCATTTTTTATTTGATTTGTAAAAGTCCAAAAAGTTCTATTTATTAATATTTGTATAATTTTTGTATTCTATATTATCTTTCTGATTTGTCAAATCCTGAGAATCCCTTCATTAATTCTATACTCTTTGACATTTTTCTCTTTTCTTCCTTTTTTGATTTGAAGATTGTCTTATTTATTATCATCATTCAATGTTGACTGACAGGCATTTATTTTTAACTATGTCCAGTTTTATAATCTTAGATTTGTCCATCTTTACATCTATTGTAAAAGGCCTTTTAGTTAATTTTATTTTTATTTTCTTTTAGTTATTTTTAAAATAAATTACCCTAAATGTTATATATCCCAGTTCCTTTTAGTTCATAAAAAAATCTGTTGATTCTTTCAAAAATCTAAGATGATTTGGCTGTTATTGAAATTTCTCTGCTAGATGCCAAATATTCTTTAAGACTTCAGTAACAATAAGAAAGGGAGTAATGTAAGAGTTTTATGAGTTTTATGTCTCCTGAGTAAAAAGTTATTATTTCTCATAATTTTCATATTCCATTCTTTTTGTAATACATCCAAACTATAAATAAAATATAACAAAAAATGAGAAATCACTGAAATCCTGGCAGTGTAAGGAAGTCAATATTTTCCTTAAATCCACATCCTCTCAAATACAAAGTGGGCTAATATGCATAACACCCACTATCGACTTGCACATGTAAAATATTGTATGAGATAATGGAATGCTAACCTTCTTCATAAGCTTGGAATTTCTTCAGTGAAGGGGCTCTAAAACATTGTCTTGGAAGGCTGTATTTTACTATATGATGTAGATGTACTCCAGTGTCTTAATACGTTCCAACTGAGAGAACCTTCCCTTTGCTTCTTGTTTTTTTTGCACTATAAAATAAACCTTTAATAAACACTCTTGAACACATTTAATAAAAATTCTTAAACAAATACAGGTAATAATTATTCTTGGAAAATATTATTTCTACAAGATGAGTTTTCATTGATACAGTTTTTAAAATAAAAGGATAAGTATTTTGATTTTTAATTCAAAAGAAAAATGCCAAATTACTTCCCAGTAAGGATACAGAATTTATTCCAGAGGATTCAAACAGAAGCACTTCAATGAAAAGACTATTTACATGGCGCATTACTTTCCTAGTAATCTACAGTAACAAAATATCATAAATTGAATGGCTTACAATAACAAAGACTGAAGCTCTCACAGTTCTAGAATCCAGAGTCCAAAAATCACAGTGTTGGCAGTCTCTCTTCATTCCCTCTAAAAAATCTAAGGGAGACTCATTCTTTGTTTCTTCCAGCTCTTGGTGGCTCTTGATCTGTTTTTGGTTCTTGGTTGTATCACTTCCATCTCTACCTCCACCTTCACATGATGTTCTTCTCTGTGACTCTATTTTTTAAACTTCCTTTACCTTTCTGTCTGAGGACATTGGTCAAGGGATATAGTGCCCACCTTAAATCAGGATGATCTCATTTCCTTGACTTGATTACATCCACAAAGTCTTTTTTCTTTTTTTCCAAATAAGGCACATTTGCAGATTCTAAACGGACATTCATTTTAGAGGGACCAACATTTCAATGTGCTACACATTCATTTGGATAGTTTATAGTGAAAATTCCAGAGATTTATAATACTAAATAGATATATCAAAGCAAAACCTGAAGCTACAAAGGGAGGGAATGATGTCATCAGAGTAAAGGGGAAAATTCTCAGGATTTGTAGTCTTAAAGCAGCATGGACAGTGACAAGAGATAAAAAGAAGGGCAAATGCAAAGAAAATACCAAGATTCTCCTGCTTCCACCATCTTGGCTATTGCTGGGTTTTGTCATTGGCTAAATTCAATCATAGGTACAAAGAATGGCAGCAAATATATCTGAAGGAATGGGAAGGTTAAAAAAAAATGATCACAGCACATGACCCTAATCCTTGGTTATAAGACACACCGAGTTAACTATCATTGTATTGCTCAGGCAACCTCTTAACTCACTAGCTCACAGTAGAGGACAGATGGATCTTCAAATTTGGTTGTTGCAATTGACATAATTTGTGCTTTGATTATACAGAAGCCCTTAACTTAATCCAATGAAACTAAGGTTCCTTAACATAATATGAAGTTGCTATGAGGGCATTAATAATCATTATTGAGGAATAAAGCTAGAAGACATTTTTTCCTGTTGCTGCTACATGAGGAACATATAAGCAAATTCTGTAAATTCAAGTATTTGAGTCACGTTAATAATTTTGTTAGTAGTTTTCTCAGTGCTACCATGATGTCTTTGTTCCTCAGAGTATATATAATGGGATTCAATGTTGGGATCAAAACAGTGTAGAAAAGAGAGATCAATTTCCCAACTCCTTCAGATTGATTTGGTTTGGGTCGTAAATAAGTGATGGTAGCCGTTCCATAGAATAAAACTACAACTATCAGGTGAGAAGAACAGGTAGAGAAGGCTTTAGCTCTCCCTTTGGCTGATGACAATTTCAGAATGCTGGATATAATTTTGCCATAGGAGAAAACAATCAACAGAAATGGAACCATGATGAAGACCACTGCAACTACATAGATTTCTATCTCATTCACAAATGTGTCCCCACAAGCAAGCTTGAGTACCGGGGGGATGTCACAGAAGAAATGATTAATTGTGTTAGACCCACAAAAAGGCAGCGAGAAAATCTGGCATGTTTGCCCAATTACAACTGGAACCGCACTGATCCAGGACACAGTCACCAGCTGGATACAGACCTTCTGGTTCATGACTAGAGTATAGTGCAGAGGGTTACAAATGGCCACGTAGCGGTCATAGGCCATCACTGTCAGGAGAAGACACTCTGAGCCTCCAAACATAAGGACAAAACACATTTGTGCAGCACAGGCAAAGAAAGAAATATTTCCTTTCTGGGTCAATAAGTCCATGAGCATTCTTGGGATAGTGACTGTTACATAACAGATTTCTAAGAAGGAAAAATTGCTAAGGAAAAAATACATGGGGGTCTGGAGAGCAGAGTCAGTTCTTACTATCAATATTATGATGCTATTGCACATCAGGATAGTTAGGTAGATAACTAAAAATACCGCAAAAAGAATCCACTGGAGATTGGGAATATCAGAAAACCCCAAGAGAACAAACTCCACAATGGTGGTTATATTCAAAATTTCTGTTTTTAAGTTGTTCTCCATCCACAGATATGGTAAATTCAAGATGGTTAATTCACTAACATTTTTTGTTTGTTTGTTTTAGAGAGTGCAAGCAGGGTTGGAGGGGAGGGAGAACAGAGAGAGAGAGAGAGAATCTCAAGCAAGCTCTGCACCAGAGTGGAGCTGGACACATGGATCAATCTCATGACCCTGAGATCATGACCAGAGTCAAAATCGGGATCGGAAGCTTAACCAACTGAGCCACCCAGGTGCCCTGATTCATTAACATTTTTGAACCACATTTTTCTCTCCTGTTACCTAGAGTAGATGCATGAATGTATTTATGTAATCTCAAATTATTTCCGTCATTACTTTGCTCTGTTTCTAGGAAATGATATGTGAAACCTCAGAAATGAACTGATGTGCAGTTAAAATCAATTCAAGAAATAAAATCCTAATATATATATTTTATACTTGCATGTAATAATACTAGAGATAATGAGAAATGTGCATTGTTATTTACAGCATATTGTGCAGGAATAATATGTAGTTATTTCACCCCTATTAAAAGTGGAATTGTTTTTCTATTGCTCTTGTCTGGGTTCATCATTTTTTTTCTGTATTGGTTGGGTTATTCCATCTTCTTTCAATTCAAATATTTTCCCTTAAAATTTTGTTTAATTTTTATTCAAAATGAGTTTTAAATTTTCCCATTTATATTCCAATGAGACTCAATTTCTTAAGCCAATCCTTTGTTCCTGAGGGAATAATATATGCAATATTATTGTTCTACTTTATGCACCTCTCCCATCACTTCTGCTAAATATTGAAAACATTAATCTCATCATGCTGCTCAATAACCTTCCCTATTAGCATACCCTGTGCAATGCATAATAAATATCAATTAAACTTTAATCCAATCGATAAAAATGACCCATTCATCACAATCTTGAATTTCCATATATTGCTCCTTACCTATGTAAGATTCCATTGCAACCAAATGCAACTCCCTTTCTTTATATCCCTTTTTTTAATGTAACCTATTAAAGTGCAATTTTTATTAAACCTAATTATTATTTATTCTGAACATGTAAATGGTCAGAGCATTAGAATGAGACTAACACACACGCACACACACACACACACAGTGTCTTACTTCATATTGTCATCTAATATTAGACAGTCAATACTGCTTAACAATTCCATTACAGGGGCGCCTGGGTGGCTCAGTTGGTTAAGCGACTGCCTTCAGCTCAGGTCATGATCCTGGAGTCCCGGGATCGAGTCCCGCATCGGGCTTCCTGCTCAGCAGGGAGTCTGCTTCTCCCCCTGACCCTCTTCCCTCTCGTGCTTTCTATCTCTCATTCTCTCTCTCTCTCAAATAAATAAATAAAATCTTTAAAAAAAAAACAATTCCATTACACTTTATTAATATTTGTTCTCCAACTTTCCAAAACAAATATGTTTTCCTACTTCATCAAATCCACTACTCCCATCTCCACCTTATATCCCTGTCAACTGATGTTTTTGCCTTAATACTTTGATAAATAAAACTGAGCAAAAAATTTTTTTAAAAATAAAATAAATAAATAAAACTGAGCAAATTTATATCTTCCCATTTCCATTACAACTAGTTTTCAAAATTATCTTAAATGAATAATTTTTATAATAAATATAAAAATTACTGTTATTTTACATATATCTAATATTACTTTATCATTAAGAAAGGTAAGAACTATATGGATTATGTTAAGTAGTGGGGAGTGCAGCACAGGCTGCCCCAAAATATGCCAAATTGGCATAATGATTATTTTGTATTAAAGTTCCTTAAGAAACAGCCAGTGCAAGAACATTCTGACATCCCCTCCTTTTGTCTCCAGAAAGCAGGAAATAAATTTCCCATATGAAAGGAGCTGTAGCAGGATGTAGAGAGACATTCTTATCTTCAGAGATAGGTAACTCAGGGTAGAAGAAACCTATTTAAACAAATCTTGTTACTTTTACTAATTACTACCCCAGCCCAAATTCTGTTTGGAATTCCTTTGTCTAAAATGCATAAAAGCAAAATGATCACTTCTTTAGGTCTCAATTTATTTACTGGGCTTCTGTGCACACAGAATTAAATTTTCTCTTCTCTTAATCTGTCTCATGTCAGTTTCTCTTAGGCCAGCCAGAAGAATCTTGAGGGATAGAGAAAAATATTTCCTCCCCAAGAGTAGTTAACTCATTTTCAGATAAAGATCTCAAAATTTTATGCTTTTCTATTTTGTTCTTTGTCTCTTGAGCCTCAAATTTAGAAGTATCCTTAAATAAAATAGTCTAGCAGCACAATTATAGCTTACCTTTATGGATTTGCATGAAGCTATCTATGTGAGAGTAGGTGTTTTGTAAACTGTAAATTTTTAAGTTCTTTTTTTCTGTCAGTAATTCACTGTAATTCTACAGTACTATTGCTGGCTTCAAACATTAGTTGCTTTTAAATAAGGAAGTCATCATGCTCATCCTGGGGGACATCTTCTCTCGTGTATCATTTTGATTTCCAGGAGACTGCTTCTGTTGAGCAATCATTTGAGTTTATTTTTTAAAAATTTCTCTGTAGGTGACCTGTCCTTCTCTTCAGGCCTTTCTTGGCAAAAAGCTCCCCCACTATGGGAGGAGTCCCTAGGTGGAGAAATGCCACTTCATTGTCTAGTATTACTTTCAGGAAAAAGTTTAAAAATCTTTCTATCTATTAGTTTTCATACCTTTAATAATTGGTGTGGATTTGCTTTTCTTACTTTCATTCTGTAATTCATCCAGATCTAGATCATCCACAACCTTGGGAAAAATGTGTCACATGTTTTATCAAATGAACATTGATTGGTTCTTAAATATATTAGGTGGTGAGATCCATTTTCAGAAGTAGAGAGCTCTGTTTCTAGATTAAATTTTGTGGAAATTGAAGCATGTCATGTCTGCTGACAAAAATCAAGATGGCTTTATGTTATGGCATCTACTCAGGCATCAGGGAAAGTATCTGGCTGATTCAAAATGTAAACTACCTCAAAAATAAGCATTTTAAACAAAATTATTTAAGAAAGAAAGAGAAAAGAAAAAAAGAAACTTTCCTGTCAAAGTTATTTTCCTAATTCAGCTACTTCTAGGTAGGTATGGAGATAAAATTATCATGCATAAAGTTGCAAACTCAGTATCTACTTCTACTTGCAATTATATTTGTTTCTTCCTTCTTGGCATTCTTTGACTATTTGTGAAAATTGTGTGCTTCCATTTGTCAAAATAGTGCTTTCTATTTGTCCAGATAGTATGTTTCCAAAACTGCCTTTCCTTTCTGTATTTTAAGCCTGGTTCTCTTCACTATAACATGCTTCTTATACATTGGCCCTCTGTACTCTATTGTGACTAATTTGATATTGCTGGGGGACTTCCTTCATGTTTATATCCAAATGGGAACTTCATTCATGATTTGCCTCAAATAAGATGTCAGTTACTTACAGGCTGGGCATATTGAATGTCCATCCCCTATTGGAGTAGACTGAGCTAATCCCTATCCTATCCTTAAGACAGAAAATTGAGTGTTTCCTTATTCAATTAAGTATCACTATCACTAAAAAAAATAATAATAATTTAAAAACTGAATGCCTTAGATATATCAGTGGTTTAACAAAATAAAGAAGCATCTTTCACTTTTACTACAGTACAATTTTGCGATTAGTAATTAAGAAACTATGGTTTCTTTCATCTAATGATCCCATTGTCCCGTAGTTTGTTCATCTTTGTAGTTCCTTATTGGACCTTCAGCATTCAGACAGCTGAGGATTAAAGATAGAAGATAAGGAAACCAATACGGTCTTAGGAGCCTCAACACATCACTTCTATCCTGTGTTATTGTAGAAACTAATCACATGGTCTAATGTTAATATGAGAAGGCTAGGAAATATTGTTTACTACAAGTCAAAGAAATGGAAATATATTTGGAGAGCATCAAGTCAGACTCTTCGTTTTCGGTCACTAGCAGTGTGCTATAGCATGCTATAACATGTAAACCTTTCGACTGAAGTTCTAACATGGCATTTACCTAACAGTAATTATTTGTTGTACATATCTATACTTTAGCATTTTTCAAGATATACTCACGTCTAACGCAATGTCATATTATTTTTATTCTTAAATTAGCAACATTATTGAGACATAGTTTATATAAAATAAAGTACAACCTTTAAAATACATTCAATGAAATTTAAAATTTGATGAAATCCAACAAGTATATATATATATACACTTGTGAAACTATCACCACATTCAAGATACAGAATATTCACATCATCTTGAAACATTCTGATGTACAGCCTCATAATCTATTTCCCTTCTATGCCCAACCCCAAGAAATCACAGATCATATTTCTGTAACTTTAGATCATTCATAATCAGTTAGAAAGAAAAGGAAAGGAAAGGAAAGGAAAGGAAAGAAAAGAAAAGAAAAGCATAAAGGGAAAGGAAAGGAAAAGAAAGGAAAAAGAAAAGGGCTGACTAAATGAAAAAACAGCTTACAGCTAAGGGAGGGAAATCATCCTTTAACCATATGAGAAGACAGTCAAATCCGTTCATGAAAAAGTAAAGGAATTTTATTTATTTATTTATTTATTCATTTTTAACTTTTTAAAATTTTTTTAAAGATTTTATTTATTTATTTGACAGAGAGAGACACAGCGAGAGAGGGAACACAAGCAGGGGGAGCGGGAGATGGAGAAGCAGGTTTCCCGCTGAGCAGGAAGCCCAATGTGTGGCTCCATCCTAGGACCCTGGGATCATGACCTGAGCCGAAGCCAGACAATTAATGACTGAGCCACCCAGGCGTCCCAAGGAAAGAAATTTTAAACTGCACGGAGGTTCAGTTTATTAAAAACTAAACATTTCTATGCAGTCACTTGGGAAAACACGTTATTTACCCTGATGTGTTCACTCTGAATCAAACCAACTTGCATGCCTGTGAGTTTAAGCAGGTTTGCATTTGGCAACACTATTGTATCTGCAAAAGATGTACTGTATGGTGAATAACATAACATAATAAAAAAATTATAAAAAAAGATGGTGAACCAACTAAGTATGATCATGTCAGTTATCGCTCTCTGACTTAATGAGCCTTAATTTTGATATTGTCATCTATTCTCTTTTTCTTCCACAGCTAATCTGATACCTTCTAAATAGAACTTTTATAGGTTATCTAAATTTGTCTAATGGTTTCAGCAGAAAAATCAGCTTGCTGTGACCATGTGCATCACAACCAGAAATGGAAATTATTTTTGTATTTGTTTTAAATGTTGGAAATTATATGTGACTTGGTTTTAATTATGTCCATTATACACATTTGATTCCTTTATCCAGCACAATTCAGTGGTATTACCAGTGTTGGATCATGAAATTTTTGTTTGGTTATTATGATTTTTGAGGAAAAGGGCAATTGATTTTACTGACTTGGTTTCAGGCCAAAACAAAAGCATGACATTAAAAGAATAAAGAGCATTAGGTTTTTGTTTTCATTACCAACAAGATGTATTCATTAAAGAAAATGAAGACAAGAGGGGGGAAAACTAAAACAACAAAACTGTCTCTCATGTGTGAACATTTTGATTCATCTCTTCCATCTTTTTAATACATAGTGTGTTTGATTTAAATCCTATGTGCTGCAGAAAAATTTATGAATTGTCATCCATGTGAATCTATATAAAGCAAACATCCTTGTAACCACTGCTCAAGTCTGCTATAGAAAAATATAAAGGATGTAGCTGCCTCATATTCCTCTTCCTAATGGGAGCCATTAAATCTGTAGGCATCCCCAAATATTGTCTTTTAACATTACCTAAAAGAACATATACAGTATGCTTATGTTTATGGTTTATTTTGTTCACTGATAGACTTCATTCAAGTTGTATAGAATTGTGTTTTGTTCATTTAGATAGATCTCTGCTTTTTCTTTGTGTGAAATTTACACAGTTATGTTACAATTTTGACTTGATAAGTGTTTGCTATTATGAAGGATCCTAAAATAAACATTCTTAGGGGGGTCTGCAGCATCCATGTGTATGCAATTCTGCCGGATACATACCTAAGAGTAGGATTCTCTAAATGAAGGCAGACTCTAAATGGGGTAACAATTCATATGCGAGCATCAGATGAGAGTTTCCACAGCTCCACATCTTTAACACATATTCTATGATGTTTTCTCATTTTTCTTTTATCATTTCATTTTATGTTTTTCATCATGATAAGTATACTCTTTCATACAAGTCCCCTATTTCACCCATCCCCCCACCTACCTCCCCTCTGGTAATCATCAATTTGTACTTTATTAGTTGAAAGTCTGTTTCTTAATTTGTCTCTGTCTATAATTTTCCTTTGCTTATTTGTTTTGTTTCTTAAATTCCACCTATTAGTGAGATCATATGGTATTTGTCTTTCTCTGACTGACTTATTTTGCGTAGCTTAATACACTCCAGCTCTGTCCACGTCATTGCAAATGGCAAGATTTCATTCTTTTTGATGGCTGAGTAATATCCCATTGTATATTTATACCACCTCTTCTTTATCCATTCATCAGTCAATGGACATTTTGGCTCTTTCCGTAACTTGGCCATTGTAAATAATACTGAAAAAATATAGGGGTGCATGTGCCCCTTCGAATCAGTATTTTTGTATCTTTTGGATAAATACCTAGGAGTGCAATTCTTGGGTTGTAGGGTAGTCCTATTTTCTTTAAAGCTTTATTGTGTTGCATTTCATATTCAGGTTTACAAACTACCTGGGTTTTTTTTTATAAATAGTGTGAAGTATGGGTTGATTTTTTAAAACACATTCACTTCTAATTAAATTAGCACAATTTATAAAAAAAACCTTATTTTTTCTACATTATTCTGCAATTTTTACATATTCAAGTGAGTCCATGAACTGGGTATGTGTTGGGCTCTCTATTATGTGTCACTGGTCTCTTTATTGTTGAATTCTTTCCTTTTGTCTGAATTCTCAGTTTACAATGTGTCATGATGCCCAATAAAGTAGGTGCTCCCACTTTACTTCTCTTCAGCAGTGGTTTGGCTATTGCTGGCTGTCTTCATTTCCACAATGGTTTTAGAATCAGCTTGATAAGTTACACACACACTCATGCACACACAGATGAGATTTATTATATTTTATTGAATTTGTGGTTCATACTGAGGAAAACTGACATCTTTTCAATATTGAGTTTTAATCCATGAACATGTCATCGCAATCCATTTACTTCTTTCTCCAAAACTTCCCTCGAATTATCTTATAGTTTACTGGGTAGACTTCCTGCATGTTTTTTTTATTAGATTTCTCTTCAGTATTTGATATATTTGATCCTATTTACATAGTGTTTTAATGTTAACTTATGTTTGCTTCTTTTATATGGAAATAAATTGATTTTTCTAATTGATTAAGCAATCAGCACATATGTTGAATTAATTTATTAACTCTAATAATTTCAATGTAGATTCTGGAATATTTCTATATCTACATTTATATAATTTGCCAATAATTAGTTTAATATCTATCTTTCCAATTCTCATATTATTTCTTTTTCACTGCAGAAGCTAGTATTGCCTGTAAAATGATGACTACAAACTCTAAGGAAAAGCATCTTTTTCTTGGTCCCAATTGCAGAAAGACACATTTCAATATTTTTTACATAATTATGTTTATCAGCTCATATTCCAATACATGTCTCTTTCTTATTGCCATGTATATGTGCTGTACCTTATATGAACTAGTGAGTGTGGGACGCTTCCTCTCTTTCTTATCATTTCTTCATTGTCTTCACCTATCATTTTTAACTTAATAATATTTTTTTCCCTAGGTGAGTCTTATTGGTGAGATAAAAAAAGATACTTTAGTGCCACTCCTGATGAAAAATATTCCTTAACCTCTGATTACCCAAAGTAAATTAAAAAGTGTTCTAAAACAAATGCAATCTCAATCACTTTACTGTACATAATTTTTGACTATCTTATTAATGTATTTTTTAAAAGATTTATTTATTTATTTTGGAGAGAGAGAAAACATGAGTGAGGGGGAAGGACAGGAGAGAATCCCCAAGCAGACCCTCCACCAAGTGTGGGGCCCTAAGCAGGGTTTGACCTCACAACCCATGAGATCATGACCTGAGCTGAAACCAAGTTGGATGCTCTCAACTGACTGAGCCACCCAGGCTCCTCTCTTACTAATGTATTTATCTAAGTATTTAACTCTTTCTTCCCATGTATACATAAGTTACATAAAAACTAGATTTGTTTTTGCTGAAATCCACCATTGTAACCATATCATATTGTAATACATAGTATTATATAGTAATACAAAACTATTTTGGAAATTACAGATCAGACCAGTTACCATCTGAATACTCCTTAGTGACCACAGTCAGTGTCACATGGAGCAGAATAATCACTCAGTGGATCCCGCCCCAATTCCTGACCCATACTCTTATGAGGTACCATAAAGTGATG